CTGTCTCATACATACATACAGCTGTTATGGGAAAATGATCCATGACGAAAGCAAAGTGGAGTTACTCGTACCATCCGAGTTGATTATTTTCCAATAACGGCACATCCTGAAGTGTTCTATTCCTCTTACCATAGTTCCCCTTGCTTTCTCTTGAAGCTAATGAAACCAGGAAATGCAGCTTGTTACAAGAAACCAACAAGCTCTCTGTCCTCAAGACTTTCCTGTGTCTGAAAACTTAAAGGAGCGTCTTTTACCTCTGACTGTTACAAGGCACTGATACTGGAGACTCCTTCCAAAAAATATTAAATAATGTCTTCTTATGGGAGCAGGGTGGCTTGGTGGTTAGCAAGTTTGCCTTGCATCTCCAGGGTTGGGGGCTCGAATCCTTCCTCCACCGCGTGCATGCGAGTTTGTACGTTCTCCCCGTGCTTCAGGGGTTTCCTCCGGGTTCTCTGGTTTCCTCCCGAAGTCCAAAGACATGTGTTTATGGGCTGATTGGCATTTCCAAATTGTCTGTCGTGTGTTATTGTGCCCAGCAATGGGCGTGTTTGATTGTGTCCCGAGTTCCCTGGGATAGGCTTCCTTGCAACCCTGTGTAGGACAAGCGATACGGAAAATGGATGGATGTCTTCTTACAGAAAGCTTCACCATATCCATGATCATGTTTCTTCGTTAAATAACGATCCATTTATTATTAGGCTTAGATTACACGGAGCTGTTTACATGCTGAGTTCAAATTTAAAGAGCTGTTGGGTGCAAAACCGCATCAGTAATTCGGTCTGTAGAGAGTCAGTGCACTGTATAGATGGGTAAGCATGTGTACAGCACACATCCACGGCCATCTTCACCTTAATGTAATCCAAGTTACAGCTTGTACCCTGTTTACACTTACTTCCATTTCCATTCACATTACGAGGTCCCGATGTGACTGGTATCACTGCTGTCATATGGATAGCTTATTAAACATTAGCTGTCCTTGCGTGCAGGGCTACTTCAAAAATAGCTATATATATTTGGAGCCATTTTAGTTTTGCTTTAACTTCTTTAAGTTAATTTAATCTTTAATCTTTGCATAATATTAAACACATTCGTCTCTTGTTGCGTCTAGTCTTCTCAATAGGAAAAAAAGCTTTCGGTATGTATTATTATTAGCAGTATGTTGACGATAAAGTAAAGATTCAGAGTATTGTCGTAAGTTTGCATTCTCACTGGTTATACCATAGCGCTGTTGAGTTCTGGACTCTGATTGGTCAGACGACGTTGATCAAATTTCCATAAAAGCAGGTCTGACGGTAATTCAGTGTAATTCAGTTCACAGGTTTATAGTCACATGCTCATTCTGATATGCCGTCTTTTGCGTAGTAATAACTCATTTATAAAGACTTGTATGTTGGATGCTTTACGTAATCTAAGCTAAATACTATATTTTAATAAGTTATGTAACAAAGAAAATGGAATAATTGTTGGCATGGTCACGGGCGTCAACACTTTTCAGATTTCAGATTATGTCCTTCATTAATAACTTGCAAATTGTATTCCTTGGAAAATTGCTGTGGAATCAGAGGAATAAACCCTTCAGGATGTGTACTTATCGGAAAAGAATCCACTTCTGGGTGGTAACCATCACCACTTCACGTTCATCATAACCGCATACCCCCATTATCTTTCATTCCTTGCTTATGGTGTGTGTTTTATTTCTTTTTTTTTTTTCTCCTTCTTCCCCCCTCTCTCCTCCATTCAGGGTCACGTTACCCATCAGAATGAACATTTGGTGGTTCTTACATCTTCCATTCTGTTTTCTTTTACTGTTTTTATTAACCTTAACATACTGAGAGCCTTGAAAACCTAGAAGTAATGCCCCATCTTTTTTTCAGAAATGCTTAATGTTTCATTTTACTGTATTGGGAAATGTCTAAAAGATCATACTTGTGTTTTTTTTGTGTCGTTCTGTACTTTTATACAGAGAAAAGCATTTTATTAACTGAAAGTATTATCATTATTAGAGCCGAGCGCCAATCTCTGCCAAGCTGGTGGCCAACATGCTGTCGGTCGCAGGAGCAGATCATATCATTACCATGGATCTGCATGCCTCTCAGATACAGGTGAGCCGGACCTCAATCTGATTGCCGCATGAATTTAATCTCTTAAATCCTGGATCTCTCTAACTCTGGCGTGCGTCGTAGGGTTTTTTCGACATACCTGTGGACAACCTGTATGCTGAGCCTGCTGTGCTGAAGTGGATTAAGGAAAATATCCCTGAATGGAAGAACTGCACCATTGTCTCCCCGGATGCCGGAGGAGCTAAAAGGTCCGCATTGCCTCTTCTGTCTCGCCATTACACTGAACTCAAGATCACGTTACCGCCGCATTCCTTTCATTTATTTAAATCTCGGGACGTGCAGCGAGGTCCAACTCTTCCCTGTATAACCAATAAATGTGTTGCTGAAAATGTTGGGGCTTTATTACTTAGATAAAGTTCATGTTTTCCTTGTCACGTTTATTTCAAAGCTAAGTCATGCCACGTGTCAGTCAACCTCATTGGACAGGATTATTATTATTATTATTTTTAAAATATTTATTTATGAGAGATTTTGCGCTAAAGATGAACATTTCATTTAGTGGAAATTGAATGCGCTCCTGTACGTAATAGAAGAGATAGAAGACAGGAATCAAAACCTTAACAGGAACAAAGACTCTGCAACCCTTCAACATTTCAACACAAATAGATTCAGCTGGGGTTTTTTTTTCTTCTGTTAATTCAGCTATGTGCTCTTTTTGCTATGTCAACATTTTTTTTTTCTTGCTTTGACGTAATACTTACATTTTAAAGTGTTTTTCCACTGGCAGGGTCACGTCTATAGCAGACAGGCTGAATGTTGACTTTGCCCTCATTCACAAAGAGAGGAAGAAGGCTAATGAGGTGGATCGCATGGTGTTGGTGGGAGACGTGAAAGACCGGGTGGCTATCTTGGTTGACGACATGGCTGACACATGTGGTACCATCTGCCATGCCGCTGACAAGTAACTCACACTTTTTTTTCTGCCTACTGCACTTTACATTAAGAACATTGTAATAAGGAATAAATAACGGTAATGTCATAAAAAGCAAGAAATTTGCCGGGCAAAATTTATCTCGGTAGCATTTTCTAAGATTAAATGCGAAACGTTAAATTTAAGTTGTAATCATAATACACTGGAACATCTCCAGCACGTTGTTCCGTTTTGACCTGATAGTTTATAACTTGTTTGGTACAGTTAAGAACTGCTTCGCACAAAGGCACAATGCAATAACTACATTTTTGGTATTTACGAGTGAAATTATACAAGAAATTCTGTTTTATCGTGTGCCCAGAAAAATTATAGGCTAAAAGTTAGTCCATTGTTATTGTCAGTGTAGTTACTGTGGTGTGTGGCTTGTTTGTTTGTTTAGTTAGTTAGTTAGTTAGTTAGCTAGTTAGTTAGTTATTGGGGATAACAGTACAGTAGAGGTGTGCTCGGGACCACTTTTTTCGGGAACTTCTCTCCCAGAAAGATTGACTAATCTTGTCAATCTTGGCTTGTGCTAGTTCCCAAAATATAAACAGATTAGTAATAAGACTGTGATCATGACCAGGATAAAGCATTTATTTACACTGTTTGAATGAATGAATGAATGTGGTAAGTGTGTAATGCTGCAGAAGCACTGAATCACACCTAATACACCCCTGTGTTAATGACTGTGTTTTTTTTCTTTGCCAGCTCTTACTTGCATGAGAGTAAAAACTTGGGTAATCTGGTAACCCTGAGTCCATACACATGGGGGGAAAAATACTGTGGATCAGTGTACATGTGTACACCAGACTACATATAGTGCAAATAGTGTGCTGTAAATTGAAACTGAGCAAGTTTTCTTTCTCTCTCACTCATGTTTCTAGGTTAATTTCAGCCGGGGCTACCAAGGTGTACGCTATCCTTACGCATGGCATTTTCTCAGGGCCCGCCATATCGCGCATCAACAACGCCTGCTTCGAAGCTGTAGTTGTGACCAACACCATTCCACAGGAAGAGAAGATGAAGCATTGTCCTAAAATACAGGTTGGATGCCAGACATGTATTAAATGAGGCTGCAGGAGACATGCTCAGAATTAGTACACGTGTTCGATTATGCAAAACAAATGAACAAACCATAAAATAACAGCGAATTAAAACAGAAAAGCAGCGTTAAAGGGTTAAAGCTGTTAAAACTATGCCTGAAGTGACCTACCCTGATGTGTGCATCGTTACGTTGTTGATATGGCGTGTGTTTACACCAGAGAAGCACTGAAAGTACTTACAGCTACTTTCTTAGAGGATAGTCAAATCAACCTTTATTTATAATAATGATTAATAAATAGATCCTTTTTTAAATACAGCATCAAGTATTTATCTGTTTCACCCTATGAAAGGACCTATTCAAAAGCTAAAGAATAAAAATAAGAATTTTCAAAGATGATTTGAAAGTGGCTGTTGAAGAAGCTGACCTCACACGGAAAGGGAGGCTGTTCCAGAGTTCAGGAGCGACAACCTTTGGTTTTATAACGCCAACTAGGAGCCCTCAAAAGAAGTTGATCAGAAGACCTGAGTCCTCTAGTGGAGGAGGAAGGAAGAAGATGATCGCTGATGTATTGGGGCACGAGACCAGAAAGTGCCTCGTAGACATAAAGCAGAATTTTGAAATCAACCCTGAATTTCATGGGAAGCCAATAATAGGCGTGAAATATCCATCCATCCATCCATTTTCTGTACCGCTTATCCTACACAGGGTCATGGGGAGCCTGGAGCCTATCCCATGGGACACGGGGCACAAGGCGGGGGACACCTTGGATGGGGTGCCAACCCATCGAACACGCACTCACACACTATCGATAATTTAGAAATGCCAATGAGGCTACAACACATGTCTTTGGCCTGGGGAAGGAAACCGGAGAACCCGGAAGAAAACCCCCAAAGCACGGGGAGACAATGCAAACTCCGCGCACACAGGACATGGGTGGGAATCGAACCCCCAACCCTGGAGTTACGAGGCAAACGTGTTAACCACTAAGCCTCCATGCCCCCAGGGGTGAAATATTTGCCCCTATAATGCAGATGGCATCTGTATTGCGCATTGTACAGTTGGAGCAAGTCAGCTGCTGTCTAAAACATACTCGGCATGGTTTACTGCTAAAAGGAAAGGGAACACGTGGACACTGTACGTGTATAGCTGTGTGAGTTAGCTAGCTGACTGGTTTCTTGTTTGGTAAATGAATGCATTACACATTTCAGTATTCACATTTAGAGTAGAACATGCAGTTTGAATTGGCCTTTGGTTTTAAATGTCTACGATTATCAGATTAGGCTTGGTTTGTAGTAATATTACTGCAATTCCTGTGGCTGTGGAACAATATGTAAGGGAAGGCGTAAATGTCTTGTTCGTCAGTGACCCATCAGTGCCGGAATATCCTACAACTGAACAACATGGTCCTAATTGTAATTTTAACAGACACGTGAATTATGGTGAATTATGGCTATCGTTTTGAACACCAACTGGATATGTCCGAGGGCTGGATTATCTCTGCCTGTTGCAACTTTAAAGACTAAAGAAATCTGACAATTGCTAGCCTCTAATTAATAAAATGCTTGCTTGCTTGCTTGCTTGCTTCTGATCTCAGATGATGGTGATGTTTTCCACTTTCCAGGTCATCGACATTTCAATGATCCTTGCAGAGGCTATACGGAGGACCCACAACGGCGAGTCAGTCTCGTATCTCTTCAGCCATGTCCCCTTGTAACCCCTCCTCTGTGCGCGTCCCTTTATTGTGCTTTATTACCAAAAACAAAACAAAACAAGGGAGCCTGACCCCAAGTCCTCAATAACCTGTATCTGACTGAGACCCCAAAGGAATTTAACCTTCTGTGAAATCATAGCACCCAATTCACCTGTTGGAGCTGTTCATCTCTAGTTGAGGATTCTAGCAAGACTTTAAATTCTTTCCCTTGAGGTTAAGACTGTGGAACGTTTAGTTCCTAGCCTTAAACACCACCTTTATATTATCTTGCGTGGATTGCGAGTAGCTTGACTAGATGCTCAGCCATTCGGGTGACAGTCTGTTACACTTTAATTTATTCGGGCTTATTTTGTATAAGTAACTTGCTAGATGTGTATCTACACAGGCAGAAGATTTAAGGTAGTTGACTGAGGGTTTCTTCTTTTCTTTTTTTTTGTTTGTTTTAGTAGAGGCTGGGGCATCATAACTTGGGGTCTCTGCAGGCTGGAGCTTCCTTGTCAGTCTATTTGTTTTCTTTTTTCCACTTTCTTTACTTTTTTATTTTAAATTTGAATGTATTTTTCGGAAATGACTTAGCCACACTTTCTTAGGATCCATCATGAAAGAGCTAATTCTGTTTCTCTTTTATATATGTTGGGTTTCCATTGTTTTGCATTTCATATTGCGAAATTTGTTCTTATTAAAGAATTGTGACAAAGAGCAAGGAAATTGACTTGGGTTGCTTTTTAAACTAATTTCTTTTCTTGGAGTGAAGATGAAAATCTCAGTTAAATCTGGTATTTAGTTTTACACTGAGTAAATTCAAGGTTCAGATCCATTAACTAACTTGGCCAGTCAAGAACGTTTTACTTATTGACTCTGACAAGCTCTTTAATTAACTTATCGTTATAGAGTGATGCACAGGTCCCTCAGTTTTGAGGCGGGTAGTTGGAGCCGATTGGTTACGCTACAACAGGATTAATCTTGCGGCTATGATATGAATACTTTTTTTGGCCATTGTATCACACACATCTACCTAGGCTCATGAGACATTCATTTTTCACTGAATGCAAGGTTTCATTTTAAAATATCACAATAAATGATGTACAGACCCAACCTGAAAACAACAGGAAAATGAGCGTTAACCCCATTTCAGGTTTAAGGAGTATACGGTAGGGCTTAATATTATTCACCACCTGGGCAGGCGAGAACTGTGGCAAGCACGATAATTCACCTAGATGGGGGATTTTTAAGTAATTCTGCAGTAATGTGTGGTAAATAGTTTAAAAATACATAACGGCATGTTTAGATATAACCATTTTACAAATAGGTTGTCTAATGTCCACAGTATTGAGCAGGAGAGCGTCAGTCAAAAAAGTATGTTTAATCACTTTCTAATTATCATCACTATTAACATTATTTGCAAAGTGACAATTGGACACTCCGTTGTAGGCCTATTTAATTTTTTTATGGGTCAAAATCTTCATCTTTAATTAAGTGTTTGTTCTATTAGCTAGCATTAGACAAGTATATATTTAACATTATTTAAATATAATAGCTAAATTGAACATATACTGATTTATTACAGATTAATGAACTCAAAACATTCTCCATTTACCTTGCCTTGTCAAAAAGCAAGGGTGCCCATGTGCACTGAGATGGGGGAACGGGCAATGGCCAGGAAGGGTCTGTTTATTAAAAAAAAGGGGGGGGGGGGGGGGGGGGTAGTTAATGTTGGAGAATCAAAACACTTGTGCTGCAAATCATTCCAGATTAACATGTTGATTGGCTTATCTCGTTTTTTGCATAGTTTTTTTGCGTAATGGTTGGCAGGTCTGATAATATAATTGGCAATAAACATCACTGGATATTGTAACAATAATACAGAAACTGACACTGATGAAGGCCTTGCTGATGATAACTTCTTGTCACTGTTCTTACGTAAATGTGGTTCTCTGATCACCAGATAACCGCCAGGGGCAGTGTTTCGACTCCTGGAATCCTTCTTGTAAATTTTCAGAATTTCAGCTTTTATTTTTTATTTATAGTCAGAATGGTAGAGTTTTTAAGAACCAGTCAATTCCACTCAAGTCTAGAACCAGACGAAAACATCCATATTTTCCTGAATCAGAAAAACAATCATTTCTGTTTGACATGCTATATGGGCTTGTCAGAGGAGGATCTCCGTGATTCTTGGGGAAGTTCCTTATGGTTGACTTGCACACACTAGATAGGTTCAACTGAGCTGGCATACCTGGCGTTGGCCCAAGATCAAATTGGCCAAGAGCCATCCTGCATCCTGGCCCAAGAATCAGATCCTGCCAGCTGGTGTTTCCAATGCAAGCAATAAAATTGCCGGTGTGATACCTGTGCTTGTGATATGCATGGCAATCTCAAAAGCCAAAATATCATTTGGGCACCTGCACTCGGTGCTTGGGCAGTGTGCATCTGTGCGTAGCATCTGACATTGTCCACACAAGAGTGAATCCTGCGTTATCACACTTTACTTTCCTTTTAGAGCCTGGAGGACTAGTGCTTAGGCCACAGTGCTCTCAACGCTGCGGCCCAGGTTTGATTTCCGGCCAGAGAACAGACCCCAGCCACTGGGGTTGCGTGCAACAGTGCGTATAAAAATTGGGGAGGGTTGCGTCAGGAAGGGCATCCTGCATAAAATCTGTGCCAAATCAAAAACGCGGACCAATGATCCTCTGTGGTGACCTCTAACAGGAGCATCCGAAAGAGGAACAACATCTTTCCTTTTAGAGCCCAGCTGTGAATGTAGTGGGAACCAGTATTTTAGTTCTTCACCACAAGGGGCACTATTTCAAGGGAAATCCTCCAGGAAATGCAGTGAGTAAAAAAAAGAGTGGTAAGTGCTCTGTGAATTTATCAAATATCACACTTATGAAAAACTTATGAAGGTAACAGGCTCAGCTTTGGAGAACAGGTTCACCTTTAGCTCTGACTGTAGTCACAAGCTTTTATGCACGTAGCTCAAAGAAGGCCGCCGAGTACGAGGCGAGAAGAATAAAGCGAAGATCAGCTGTTAAGGATGGTGTTTTATAATGTCATAAGGTCACCACGTGACTCTGTGGTAAATGTCTCACCATGTGCGCATGCTTGCACTAGAAGGTATCCAGGTATTGAAACACTGCCTCTTGCAGTTTGGGGTGAAATAGAATTTCATGAATAACTAACATTTCATGAATTTTCATTTCATATGAAAAACCACATGCATGTGTTTTCTCTTGTTACTCTGCAGAATTTTACATATGCTGTTGAAATTGGTTTCATTGCAAGCAAATGAACATCAAAACCCTGTTGAACTCAGTTTTTAACATTTTTGTGGTTTTGGAAAAGAAATTTCGTGACCCCTCTAACTAAAATGACAAAGTCCCAGGTTGCTAGCAATTTTTTCAATGGCAATGAATGTTTCAAGTGTGACCTGTCATGGAACCTTTTGGAGACCCTTATATTTATTTGCTTCCAGCTAGCTAAAAACAGCCGTCCATACTCTGAACTGTATGACTGTAACATTTGTGGTGGGAACACACTAATAATCATGCATGTATCACAGCAGTCAAACTAAATGGCTGCTTTTCTTCTTTGTTTCACTTCATGTGGCATTTAGATTCCCACTACAGTTTTAACCAGTAAGTTCATGTGAGTTCAGGTAAATAATAATTCTGCCAAGGTGTGAAAACACAGTGATTAAGGTTTGATTAGCTCAGTATGAAAATGGCTGGTAGTAAACAACACAGTCCTGAAGGTCAGTATTCACAAGTTTATTGACACTATCACGGCCATTTGTGTGTTATCAGAATCCTGAAAGCCTCACTTCATGGCATTCAAATACCTGACAACTGGTGACCTTAATGAATTGTGTTGGCCACATTCTCATTGTCACTATCAAGTATTTTGCCTACAGCCATACAAAACAGCCAACAATAATGTTACTGATCTATTAATTGACTCTTATTGTACTGAAACTATACTTGTACCCCCACAATGATTTCCTAAACATCTCACATGTCCAGTGGTTTGATCTCTTTTCAGGCAAATTTGCCTTGAGGTGAAGTGAAGCTACATACTGTTTCATTAACTATTCTTAAGGACAAAATGAATACTTCTGATTCTTTGGTCTTATTTATTTAAGATTGTTTTTTGTTTTAATCAAGAGCTAACCCTGTCTTGCTCAATTCACTAATACTAATTCTAGTATTACATTTGGATAATAGTACAAATAATGCTTAATGCCACTGCAGCCACTGAAACTAAAACCTTTGTGAATTACTTTTCATTGCAAGA